GGGTCCAAAATTTCTACCCTATACACTTCAACACTCCTTTCAGATCGTGTTTCACAAAAATCTAGGACAATGTATTTAAAAAAAAACTTTTTGATGAATTTTCGAAAAAAACTGAAGTGACGCGCGAATCGAGCAAAATCTGCGGCTCATATTATAAGATAAATTGCAAATGAATCCAAGTCAAAATTAGTCAAAATCAATGGGTAAATCGAATGATTATCGTTTACTCTAAAGTGTGATACCCTGAATGTATCCCTAAATTCAATCCACATTTGTGGATAATGAAATCGAAAAAGTGAAAACTGGTAACCATGTAGGGATTTTGATTTAGGGATTTTTACATTTAGGGATTTTTTTTACGAATTGCTTATTGAGCCCTTTTCAAATACTAGAAGTGTTATCATCAGAACTGTAAGAAGTCCCAGTCAAGGAATGGAACTGTTCGATTAGTCAATTCTTTATGAATAATATGGACCTGGTCACCAGGTCTGCCGAAAAAACATGAAGCTAGGTATCAGATACTTCTAAGGAAAGCTTAACTGAACACCAGATCCTTCGGAAAAATATGGAGCCACTTATGGAATCCTTTCGACAAATATCCAACTGCTCATTTTGAGCTTGTGCGTGTATTGCTTGTTCGTCTGATTGATAGTTTTACAACGTATGAAATGAGTGAAACCTTTTGTGCATCCTATTACATAATAAGATGATCATAAAAAGGAGGTTGCGATCAATACAGTAGCGATTAAAGATGGCACGTTATATTTGGTTTTGAAAACTGACTACTTATTGACTAACGATGTGAAGAGCCCGTGTACCATAGGTTAGGTATCAAATGATAAGGATAATAACTTTTAGCACCATACGATTGGTACCATTTTTTTGTGTTGTAAAGAATAATCTTTTTATGTTAGTCGCACAACTGCCATTTAGTTTCAAGAAGTACTTGTACACTTTTACACTTCATGTTAATTGAAAACTTCAATAATTTTTTGCACAGTCAACATTTATAAAAAATTCGAAAACTCTATGTCTATTTTTTGATGGCTAAAACTGTTGTAGCATTAGATGGTTTACAAAGACTAATTATCGAAAACAAAAGCTTCTGTTGCTAGACGCCAAGAAATGTTTCATTAAAATCCAAAATACATTTTGGTCACCAGATGTATTGCAACTTCCTTCGCAAGTTCAAAATATTGATTCTAGATAATTGGGTATCATAAGCGAAGGAGAATGACTCGCAATGCACTGTGTCTGATATATTGTACTTTAGAGAAAAAATGCCTAAATGTAAAAATCCCCACATGGTTACCAGTTTTCACTTTTTCGATTTCATTATCCACAAATGTGGATTGAATTTAGGGATACATTCAGGGTACCACAATTTAGGGTGAATGATAACCTACCATATTATTTCATTGAAATGATAAGTCTCCTATAAAACACTTGCAGAGGTGAAAGACATACTACTATTATGAAAAAGAATTCAAAATTGATGCAATACCAAAAAGCAGTGGAATATATTGATGTATTTCAATGTATCTTCATATTAGATAAAGTTCTGTCTTTTCCTCTACTAAATCATATATTTCGATCAATTACCATTAATTTACTGATAGGAGTGGAAACTTTTCAATCACCTTTTATTATGTCTAAAAAATACACGAATAGCGATAGAGAAAAAGAAATCTTTGGTAGAACTTAAAAAGATCTATGAAAAAAAATAGAAGAGGCAGATCAAAACAATTTGATTCAGTCACCTATAGATAATCAGATCAAAATGAACGATTTGTAACTTACCTCTTGCTTTTTTTAACCAAAAATTCTAAAATATTGTTACCTATATTCATTATAGAAATACAGCAGATGTAAAACAAGAAGTAAAATACCTGATGTTTGTGACGTGTTAGAATGAATTATTAGTGTGCCGATGGCTGTAGCTATACTTATAATGATAGAGAATACAGAAACAGGTTTTGTCAGGCGTATATAGTCTGTGGAACCATAAATCTTCTTAAAAAGACAACAGTTGACGAAATTAACTTTATCATTCACTGGACTCGTCTCTAAGTACGAGGAAGCAGTAGTTAATTATCAGACGAATTTAAGTAGTTTGTTCAAAGTTTTTATCGATAAATTTACTAGCGATCAAAAATTTGCTCATAAATACTACATTGTATTGAAATAATTATTAAGATTACTGATTCAAATGTTTCTTTGACTAGCGAATACTTCAGTAGGAGTTAATAGATATGCTTTTTGTTTTTATTTTCAATGCATAGTTTTTATAACAACCAATGACATAACTATTAACTACTTCTACCAGCGCTCTGCAAGATTTCAACATCATCATTTGACGGATCGTGATCTGGCAAAGGTCCTCTTTTTCTTTTGAATAAGTTTTGAAAAATTTATATTCCAAATATCCAAACGTAAAGATTTTAAGCAATAATATCTCAGAGTTTCTAAATTTTGTCGATGGCAAATGCCCGCGAAAATGTGACTTCAGGGAATGATATATTGAAGAATATTATTTTGGCGAAAATCGAGTAACCTTTTATTTAATAAATGCAAAAATATGTATTATATTCTGTTTGTATGGTGGCGTCCTCTATTTATTTGAAATTTTATAATAATCTTCAAAATTCTGCATTTCGAAAAACAATATATAAAG